ATACAATGTAAGAAATAACCAATTAATCCATCTCGAGAAAGGCCAATGTCATGGGCATCGTTTGGGGTCAATTTCGGGGCCTTTCAGCGTCCATTCAGATGATCCATCATCGTAGAAACACTTTTCAAATTATCGTTGTCGTTTTGATATCCATCATGTAGCTCGAATCGCATTTTTTAATGACGATCAAAATTCGGGCCGTCTTCAAGAACTTGAAAACTTTCAACTCTTCGTGTAGCCCAATTTATCACTTTTTTTATTGATTTCTTCATCACAACTCAGATAGAATTTCATCATGATCATTTTTTGACAAAAATAATCTAATTTGGTGGGCATTTGAACACTTGTCCAATTTGGAAGGTCACCAAAAAATGGGATTCCAGCAACCGAAAAACTTTCCATTTTAAACTTGAAATTGAACTCAATTCGTCCTTCAATCTTGCTTGAATTTTACCTCGTGATGGTCATCTTCATTCCATGATCGCAATGTACCTATTTTTGCGATGATCCGATGCTGGCATCTCAAGATATGGCTACTTGATCAAACACCTTTTCTTCTTTTCAAACCACACATTTTTTAACCAAACTTCTCTCTTCGAATTCTCCTAATATGCTCATCATCTCGTGCTAAATTTTATATTGCACGTTGATGAGACGCACTTTGTCCTAAAATTTGGGCTCGATCGGGTCCGGGATGAGGGAGATATGGTCTTTCCAAATTCAATCTCGAGTTCAAATGTTGTAGTTTCCATAAATAAAACTGGTTCCTTGCAGCCTGACAAGAATAGTGTAAAACCTACCCATTTTGGGTAAGTTAGTCATATGGGGGTTTAGAAGGATCCAAATGAGCTAAAAAATAGTATCCCGGGGTTTTGGGACCTTCTGCTTTCAATGGAAGTGGTCTAATACTCATCTAAAGTATAAAAATTAGGGTTCTAGTTATGAGGTCTTTTTCAGGGCGACGGAAGTTGAATTTTCATATTTGATTTCTATCATACATGTCTTAAACTTGTCGGATTGGGCTGAAATTTGGCGAGAATCCTTAAGGCACCTCAAGCCACCATCCTACCTGATTTGAGGTCATTTTGTCACTTTTCCAAAATAATGAGTTGATTTGATCAGTTCTTTTGTAGTCCTTAGGTATTTTTGGCACCAGTGGGACCAGGTTGTGACCAGCTCCTTCCTTATTCACATCAGGGCCTAAGTCAGTAAAAAATACCCCATAACACTCGACATTGAGATGTATGCTATGAAAAAAAAAATAGAAAAGATTTTGAGACCTAGAAATAGTGCATCTAGTAGCACATTATCCAGACCGTCTATTTTCAAGATTTTCATATGTTTATAGATCTACTTAATCTAAAAAAAAAATTACGTTTGAAATTTTATAATTAAAAATAAAAATATATTTTCAGATAATCCTAAGAACTTTTTATACCAAAATTACATGTTATGATAAAATTTGGAGGTGCGTCTTAATTAAGATTATTTAAAGTTGCAACCATGTAAAAACCACACTCAAAAATAAAATAGTTGAATAACTAATAAAACAATGATTCAAATCAAGGTGGAGTGCATGTCCTTTGCTAGTGAAATTAAGACGTTAAAAAACTGTGAAGGAAACAGTTTATATAAGGTTGCAACACAGATGCACCTCAAAAATCCATCGGAAAAGGTTGCTTTAATGGCCCGTTAAGCCTCTATTGGTCTTGGCCCGGGCTGGCCAATTAAGAAAACTCCTTTTTTTTCCTCATTTTTCGACTTTTTATGGAGCAAGCCAAAAGAATGCTAAAATATTTTTTTAGAGAGAGAAGGTTTTAGAGAGAATGAAATATTAGATTTCTAGAGAGAGGGCCTGAGTTTTTAGAGAGACAGAGATTGGATTCTTTTCTGAGTAAGTCAATGGGGATTTGGGCCCCTACTTATTTTTCATTAATAAATAAGAATGGTACAAAGAGTTAATGAGTTTATAGTATAATTCTTTCGTGAGAAGTCCGTACCATATCATAGAGAGATTGGATTTCTAGAGAAAAAATGAGTTTTAGAGAAAATGAAATATTGGGTTTCTAGAGAGAGAGCATGAGTTTATAGAGAGAGAGAGAGAGAGAGAGAGAGAGAGAGATTGAATTTCTAGAGAGATGTAGGTTTTAGAGAGAGATTGGGTTTCTAGAGAGAGAATGAGTTTTTGGAAAGAAAGAGACATTGGGTGTCTAGAGAGATAATGGGTTTTTAGAGAGAAAAAAAATTAAATTTCTAAAGAGAGAAAATTGATTTTTAAATAAATAAAGAGAGAGCTAAAATTACATCTTCCACATAAAAAGCGATAAATTACCTTTGTAGGCTAGAATGGACTTACTTTTCTTTCGTTATTTAGAGAAAGAGATATCAAAATCGATTGACTAATGTCTTTTTAATAAATATATCCACCATTCCACTCTTTTACTCTTTACTAAATTGATTGACTAATGTCTTTCTTTATTTAGAGAAAGAGATATTGGCACCATATAAATCCAACAAGAAATATGCACGATATATAGGGGAAGAGAGAGAAAAAACACATCGATTACCAAGTTCATTATGTTAAAAAAAGAGTAAGATAATAATAGTTAATAAACTGAATAAATAAGGGGACAAGTGCACTGATGCTTTTCTTTATTTAGAGAGAGAGAGAATAGGAGTCAATAAAGAATAAAATAAGTGCACTAGTATTTTTCTTTATTTAGAGAGAGATAATAAGAATCAATAAAAAAAAGGGATAAATGCGATGCATTTATTTATTTAGAAAAAAGAGATAATAGGAGGCAATAAAGAAAAAGATAATGACGCTAATGCCTTTCTTTATTTAAAGAGATAGAATATGAGTCAATAAAGAAAAAGATAAGTGCATTAGTATTTTTTTTATTTAGATATAGATAATAAGAACCAATAAAAAAAATGGATAAGTGCGCGAGTGCCTTTCTTTATTTAGAGAGAGAAATAATAGGAGGCAATAAAATAAGAGATAAGGGCTCTAGTGCCTTTCTTTATTTAGAGAGAGAGATAATAAAAGTCAATAAAGAAATGGTTTTTTTTATAGGGCAAGCTTTCTATGCTTCCCCTATAGCATAAAACTTATATACTTCCCCTTATCCAACCGTCCATTCTGAATGGAGGGCTAAGATTCCCTCAATCACAATACCACGTCTCTAAGCTATTTTATTTTAAATTTTTTTTCTATAAACTATTTTGATACCAAAATTTGGATGTCCAATCCTCTATTAAACTCACACTAGCAAAAAATATAAAAAAAATATTTTCAATAAAATAAAATGATCAAAATACCTCTGAAAGTTTCAAGGGGTATTTTGATCATTATATTTTATCGAAAAAATATTTTTAATATTTTTTATAGGTGTGCCCCAATGAGAATATGACACGTGCCAAATTTCATATTCATACAATTTGTATAAAAAAGACTAAAAATAAAATACTTTGAAACGTCGGATCTAAGATCAAACAGCGAGTGGCTCTCTTGATCAAAATTAAACAGCTGGATGGTTGGGGAAGCACAGATATTCTATGTTGTAGGGGAAGTATAGAAACCTTTCCCTTTTTAAAAAACTATTTCTTCGTTGTTTATGTATTATTCTTGTCCCTTTAATTTTAAGGAAACTTATAAATACCCCTTAATTTCAACTTTCTACACATTCTAACCGTCAATACTTTTTGTATTGTACCCTAAATCCCAACACTACTATTTCTTGTATATATCCCAGTAAACTAGCAAACTATTTTGAGACCAAAATACCTTTTTTCTCTCTCTCTTCCCTTTTAAATTTATTTTTTTATATTCTCTCTGTCAAACTCTCGCTACTTACGCAAAAGGCACTCTCTTTACTCACCCAAAAGGCCAAAACAAACTTTCTTTCTCTCATTCGTATTCTCTCTCTACTTACCCAAAAACTTTTCTCTTTAATAAACAAAAAAAAAATCTCTCTCATCCCGAACTCTCTCTCTAACTACTAAGCAAAATAACTATCTTTCTCTCTTGTCCCTAGCATTTAGCAGTCCGGCACATTTTTGTGCTGGAGCGAAATTTTGTAAGCAATAAACCTTTCGTAATATTTGCGATCCGTCGCAAAAAAGCACCAGACTGCAAAAATGCTAGGGAAGAGAAAGAGAGGTCTTTTTGCTTAGTAGACAGAAAAAAGTTTGTGGGAAAGTAGAGAGAGAAAGAGAGATTACAGATGAGAGAGAGTTTGTTTTCGGCTTTTGGGTAAGTAGAGAGAGAGATAACACCGATGAGAGAGTGACTTTTAGGTAAATAGATGGAGAGTTTGAGAGAGAAAATATAAAAGAAAATAAGTTTAAAAGGGAAGAAAGAGAAAAAAAAAAAAAAAGGCATTTTTGTCTTAAAATGGTTTGACTATTTGGCTTAGGGGTATATACAAATAAATAGTGTTGGGATTAGGGTACAATACAAAAATTATTAGGGAGTATGATGTATAAAAAGTTGAAATTGAAGATATCTATAATTTTTTTTAATTTTATAAGAAAATGAGGAAGAGTGAAGATTTTTTTAAAAAAAAATGCTAAATAGGCTGAGCTTTTATTTAGTCGACATGATCATTTTGGGGCTTACCGGTCTAGCATGAACCCTTGGGCAAAAATTCCAGGCTTTCCATGCCAGCTCGCGCCATATAATCGTTTATATCTATATCTGCTCGGCCCGGCCCGTCGCCCGTTGGAAGCCGTAAACAAGTCCGGCCTACAAGCTTGAGGCCCGGCACTGTCCGTTGGCAGTCCTGCTTATTGATGAAGACGAATCTCCTTTTTGCTCTCTGCACAACAACGTGGTGCGAAAGCATATGACCATGTTGACATGCAGCGTGCCACGTTCATTTGCATTTCATACACGTGTGTAGTCTCAGAGGAAGGTTTTTGCATTGAAGTTTGAGGAACTCAGTAACAAAACTTTTGTTGTAGGGAGATATTGTGTTTGTGTGTTTGGTGAGAAAGAGATGGAGGCCTCAAGCGAGTCATTAGAAACGGTTGCTCGGCAGGCGCCTGTGACTTACGAGCGTAGGGTTCGGACTGATCTCGATGACAAAATTCCCAAACCTTGTGAGTGTTCTTCTTCCTTAAAAAACCCAAATTTTGTTTGTGAATGAATCTTGAAAAAGAAACTCATTACTTCACCACCACATTTGGACTTCTTGTTTGTGTGATTACATGGTGAAATAGAAATGGATGAAGACTTGATATTCTCTCTGTCTCTCCATACACAGATGTGCCGAGAGCTCTGGTCGCTCCGGATACAGAGCATAGGAATGGCTCTCCAGGTCATAGACATTACAATCTCAGTGTTCTCCAACAGCATGTCGCCTTCTTCGATATGGATGATAACGGCATCATATATCCTTGGGAGACGTATACTGGTATATGATCTCTCTCTCTTCTTTCTCCTCTCTCTCCCTCTCTCTCTGTATGTTACCTCTGTTATGTTACCTCGGTTTTCTTGTTGGATCCAGGACTTCGAGCCTTGGGGTTTAATTTCATCGCGTCTCTAGTCATGGCTTTGATGATAAACGGTTCTCTAAGTTACTTCACTTTGCCTGTAAGTAAGCTTCACCCTTCATCGTTTAAAGGCTTTTTTTTTTTTTCTTTCTTGAGTGATTTACGCATGGATTCTAAAATTTTAAGTAAAATACGAAAATGCTTGAGTTATATGCCAGGAATTAAAACAAGGTGGGTCAACCCAATTG